GAATCACGTGGTGTGCCGTTCTCTTTCAAACCCGGGATTCGATCAATAGGGGAGTTTCAGTAAAAAAACACATTGCAAATCATGCAAATTCAACATTTTCAAACCAGTATACTAAAACACAAATGCTCAGCGATGCAAAAGAAGGATAGATGTTACTTTTCATTATACACATCTCTGTTGATACAATCCCTCACATATTCTATTCCCAGTTATACCTGCGTAAATGGATTAGCCTCTTTTGATGTTGACATTCAGACTAAAATCACGTGACATGCTGTTAAAATTGGCTGTTGCATACACTTTCGCCGGTCTGGAAAATGTGTTTAGTTAGCTCTCATTCAAGTAACAATGCAGATTTCCCAGTGGGAGTGAAACTATTCGACTCTGCCATTAAAAAATAGGGGTGTTTTGAGCAAAAAAACGAATAACCCTGGAGTGCACACAACACACTGAATTTCGGAACAAATCTTGCATTATTTACAGCAGCAGAATACCACAGTAATAACAGACGAAACATGGAAACACTATATATATGTATTTCGGCCTGAACCCTCTCTATTGCAATTCCAGGAATTACCCCCCATATGTGCAACCATTTTCCACCTTGGTACCACCCAAGCCTGAAAACAAAATCTTAATACCACGCTGAAGCGTTTGGTAATAATATAATGATGCTGCGGACATATTCTTAGAAACATGTTCAGCAGTGCAAGTCTCGAATCAACTTCTTTAAGGAAAGTTCAACTTAGCCAAATAAAGAAAACATTGTCAGCTGTGTTAATGGCCAAATGTAAGTCAACCATTCAATAATATCACAACCTTCGGTATTATAATTACGTTTTGTTAATATGCGTTATTATTTGTGTAACATACAATATATAATATGCCAATACTGTATCAATAGTATTTCAATTATTGCTGCTTATTGTGGGAACAACGTGTTCACTATCACAAAAAGTAGGTCTTAAAATAGTTCTTGTGGAAAAGGATATCCAAACAATTTAAAGTCCATTTTATATAATTCATATAGTTTAATTATGTCATCTGGTGGAATTTGTGAAAAGTATTTTAAATAAATATTTTCATCCGAACTGTTAGTTGCATGAGTACTGAAATTAGGAAAAGATACGTTGGTTACGCCAATGGAATGGAGAAAATAATTTGATTCCTCTACAATATTTTCGAAGTGACCAATAAAATCATAAGAATGATCACACACCGCACATAATTTATGCTGGAAATCCCAATGGACGTTAAAACTAGACTTGTTTTCAGAGTTTAACAGAAAACGAACGAATTCGGGAAACTTTACGCGCGGGTTAAGGGTGTTACCATATTTCTTAGTAGTTGCATAAGAACGATAAAGAGATATTATTTTTCGTCCGGTTCTCACAAAAGCTTTATTGTCCGGTATTTCAAATTTATTTCTGTATGCAGACAATAGTCGCTGAAAAGGGTGACGAACAAATAAAAAGGAAGTGTAGTTTTGCCTTCTATGTTCTGTTCGAGAAATAGTTGGATACTTATGGGCATGCACTGCAAAGTGGTGAATACCAAGTGTACTGTTGCGAACTCCTGATAAAACTAAAAATATGCGTTTCCAATTTGTGCAACCAACTTTTGGAATAGAACAGTACAGGATATTATAATCGTCATTGATGATAGAAGTATTCGCCTCCTTGGATTGGTGGTAGTATCTGTTATCTGATTTCATATCTGTGCAAATCCTACGGAGAAGCTCTTTACGTTTTCTCTGTATTTTGTCCATTTCTCTACTCTGTATGAACAAAATAACACATTCATTTT